TTTTTCAATATTAAAAAATAAATAAATATTAATTAGAATATATAAAAATAATTTGAATAAAACTAAAACAAATATATATATTTTTGTTTTTATAAGTAATGTATTTATTTATTTAAAAATATCAGAATATGACCTCTAGTTAATTTAAAACATCCCTTTCTTAATATTTAAAAATAAATAAATATTATTATTTAATCAAATATATATTTATATGACTAAAATAAAAAATAATTAAAGTATAAATTAAACATATTAAAATTTAAAGGATAATAATAAAAATTAAAATGCAACTAAACATTGACTAAAACAAATAAAATTAAAACAACATGATTAAAATGTAAATATTAAAACTTAAGACTCTAATTTGAAATATTATGAGATTTAGATACTAACAGTGTAATTTGACCATGATCAATTATTCAGGGTTAAAATAAAAGTTTATTGAAATTATAGGGGCTAAACATGCTAATTTACCTTATATATGTATAAATATTATTAAGGGACTAAAATATAAATAAATAAAATATGAATACAAAATTAAAATAAACTGAAACTCGATTTAGTGATTAAAATGAAATATTATAAATTTAGAAGGACTGCGAACCTAATTTGACCATCCCCTAAATTACGCATACACCCCTTATCAAAATGGCGTCGTTTTGATGAGAATATAAAAGCCCTATAACTAGCCCTAAAAGGCCAAACCTTCTCATTTTCTTTCCTCTCTCTCTCTCTAAGGAGAGAAAATTCTCTCCCTTCTCTCTAGACTATCTCACCAGAGATAGAGCCAGCCATTCGTCGGTCGCCGTGCTACGACGTCAAGGAATTTGAAAAATCACCTCCGAATTTTCCTCTTTCGACCCTAAAGCCGAATATGACCTCCCTTTGTTCTAAAACTACCTCGATTACTCTAGATCTAAAAGAAACTGAAGGTTTTACCTTCGGTTACACGGTAGTTCTAGCGACGTTCGGGCTCCCTGAAGATAAGTTCTTCTCTCCCTTTTCTTTGTTTCTTAGTTGATTGATGGTTGTTATTTTTTTCTTTCTCTTCGGTGTTGCTTGCTGTGTGTTCTTGGTGAGTTTTGCTTGTTGTCCTCGTCGTTGTTCGTCTCTTGCTTGTTGTTGGTGGTCTTCGTTCTTGCTCTGTTGTTCTCTTTCTTGTAGGTTCAGTGGCTTTTATAGCCACCACGAAGCTGCTTTCAGACCGGGTAATAAAGCGATCTTCGGTGAGTCACTAAACTACAGTGGTGACTCACCCTAGGGGCGACGTGTGCGACTGCTGCTGGTCTTCTGCAGTCTTCGTCGGAGGTGTGGCAGCAATAAAGCGTCGGAAGCTGTTGGTTGGGTCACCTGGCAGTGGAGGCGTCGGTATTGGCGGCTGGAAGCCTCAACATAAACCCTAGGGTTTCCGGGTCTTAGGCTTCTCGGGTCTGGACCGGGTCAGGTTTGCTATCTGGGCTTCATTTCTGGTTTGGGCCTCCGGGATTGGTTGTAAAACGGGTCTGTAATAGTTTGTAATTTATTTTTAATAATAATAATAATAATAATAATAATAATAATAATAATAATAATAATAAAATATAATATAATAAATAAATAATAAAAATAATAATAAATGAAAAAATGGGCAAAAAACTAGTGTCTACACAATGAATGAAGAATGTGTTACTAGCCCACTAAGGGACCTTGAAAAATAGATAAACAATTTGAAATGCTGTAAAACATACTTGAACTAACTTAGAGAATCAAAGGGTTCAAAATCCTTTTAAAACCCTCCACAAAGATCAGTTTACCTTCCAATGAGATAAGGAGTTCAAAAGATAGATCTCAAGTTTTTAAAATCGAATCTTACCTTGATACAAAGTTCGGCAAATGATGGCTAATGTAGCATCTTTAGGTGAGGAAACTTGCTAGAAAAGATAGAGAGGAGTAAAGAAGAAGAAGAGAAGTGAGAGGGAAGTGAAAAAAGGAGTTCAACTTTTATCCCTTCTTTATCCCCGATGACATGAGTTAAATTAAATAAATTTGAGTCTTAAAATTCACTAATGGTCTAACTACTCATTTGGTCTTTCTTCATTTACTGTCAAATTAAAAACTTTATTTTAACTCCAAATAGATCAAATACTCAACTGATAAAGCTCAAATTTGATCCAAGGACCTTTAAACTATAATTAATCTATTCAAATATTATTTTATTGTCCTATAGCGGCATTTTTATTGTCCTATAGTGGCGTTTTTAAGCGCCGCTAAAAGTAATCACGGCGATAGAAAAAACGCCGCAAGAAGCGCCGGCAATACCAGCGCCGCTAAAGTTAGCAGCGTTTGAGAACAAAAAACGCCGCAAAAGGTCGAGATATATAGCGGCATTTTTGGAACAAACGCTGCAAAAGGTCGAGATCTATAGCGGCGTTTTTGGAACAAACGCCGCAAAAGGTCAAGATTTATAGCAGCGTTTTTGGAACAAACGCCGCAAAAGGTCGAGATCTATAGCGGCGTTTTTGGAACAAACGCCGCAAAAGGTCGAGATCTATAACGGCGTTTTTGGAACAAACGCCGCTAAAGGTCGAGATTTATAGCGGCGTTTTTGAAACAAATGCCGTAAAATGTCAGATCTATAGCGGCGTTTTTGGAACAAACGCCGCAAAAGGTTGAGATTTATAGCGGCGTTTTTCTATACAAACGTCGCTAATTACCTTTCAGTAGTTAATATTAATTGATTTTGCATATTTAATTTATGCTCTACAACACCTAAATTTAATATCATTTAGCTTTATCTAATTAACAACCATAAATTTTAATTAAGACACAAACTTGAAATCCATAACAACAAACTTGAAATCCATAACAAGAAACTTGAAATCCATAATAATAAATCAAAGTTTAAATTACGTAAAATATAATGTAATTCAACATTGTTAACTAGAATAAACAATAATAACACCTAAGATGGGAAAGAACAATTTGTAGTCTATACCACACAAACAGACCATTTACAACAATCACTAGTAGTGAACTAGTGATAAAACTCAAAGTTCTCGTCATACAGAAAAGGGGAAAGAAGAAATGTGTTACATTTGGAGGCTACCCACTACTGTACTCCTCAAGCTTAATCTCCAATTCATGGCCTATTAACCCTGCCATGTCCTAGAACAGAAAGTTTGACAAAAGTTAGTTGAATCAAATTGTATAATTTACATAGTTAGTCGAAAGCCTAAAATTATCGGTCATAGAAAACCTAGGGACATTAAATAAACCATTCAAGTAGACAAATATGAGCACTTTGAAAGCAATGTTTAAAAGAAAGGAGCGCATAATTCATGGAACTGTTATGAACCTAGAAAAGGGTTGTACTTGTTCCTAATTAAGATAAACAACATATACAAAGGTTTGCTACCTTTGTTAATGGTGAATTTTCCACAAGAAGATAAAAGAAATCTTACAATTTTCTTGTTTTAATATAATATCAAATGAAAATTATGAAATACAAGCTACTTACCAAAATTAACTATAATTAATTATGATTATGAAAGATTAGGAAGTAAATAAAAAGTCAATGCTCATCACTTGAAACATCGATTTCCATCTAGATCTCGCTGAACCATTTTGTTATTGATGCACATATATTTATTAATAAGAGAGATGGACAGAATGTATACACACTCTCTTCTGCGTTGAAATGCATATTTCTTTATTTTAATGAACCAGTACACTATAAAATACCTGAACAGTGGCTTTCAGTTGAAAAATGTCTTGACAGCAATGAACAATATATATTTCGTTTATTAGATTGGTACAATAGCAAATCAAATGCAATGCATAAAGTAAACAAAAAAATAGATGCTAATGGAAGCGTAAAGAAATTACAGGAGGATTTCAATGTGACTTACATCATAAGTGGACCCCAAGGTCCAAGATCCTTGTCAACCCATAACAGAAAATCCTTCAGAATCTGCAAAGAAAACTTGTTTTCATCAACATAGAGGGAAAAACCAACTGGGTAATTGCACTAACAGATAATATTTGGAAAGCTAGGGAGAACTGAAATCCTTAAGAATTCATGACCCTACTTAATCTTGTATTCCTCAGAAATCTTGGCCTATATTTACCCCAACTTTGCCATTTGTTTTAGTTTCAGAAATGGTATACAATTAGCTTGTTTTACATTAGGTTCAAAAGTAGAGCCTTGGATGTAAATTAATCTTCAAAATCTACGAACAAAATCACAAATTTGCACTTATAACATCATGCCCTAAAAATCATGAATATGAAGTAATCTATACAAACAGCCAAATGCAGTGAGCTATAAAACCCTTCAATTCTAGTAATATATGATATATATTATATTGCATCCTTTTTAAGTTTCTTTAAGTCAGATTTTCACTGGTACCATTAAAACCATTACAACGATTACATGAAAAGCATGCACATCATGCAACTCGTGAACTCCATTGTCAAAAATCCCATCACTTTCGAAGTTCTCTAGAATGCCCCATTAGAACATAATGCCAAGGGAATGCAAGTACAGTAGGGGAAGGGGATCATGCGGGGCCTACATCCCTAGCTAACAAGTTGCCAACCTATGGAAGGATGCATGTAAGAGAACTTAATGTTACCCAAAGAAAAAGAAACTTCCTGCATCCACTTGGAAATATGGGAAAGCCAATAATTTAGCAGTGCAAAATAATGTTTAAAGGAATTTTAAATGGTTTCATGGTTAAAAACATATACCAAACTATAAAATTAGATAAAAAGAAAAAAATTATATATATATAATTATAAAATTTAACTCACACTTCCTATTGTCTTCTGAACAACATCAACACGTTGGAAAGCCCTTTCAGCTTCCAAAGTCTGCACTCTAAGCTTCAGATCACCCTGTTCCTGTAATATGCAGCATTTTGCAACAGTTTAACACAACAACTATTTTAACCTTTCAAAATATATTATAGGAATCTCGAACCCTACCAATCTTTGGATGGTTTCAGCAACTTTCTCAACTCTATCTGCCTGCCCTAATAAGTTATAGAATGCACGGGGCTGTCTGTCCCATGTCTTTCTGAAGTCCTGAAATATTTATATAGGTTATCATGAAAATGGAACTTTATCATGAAAAATACAATTAAATCTAGAATCAAAGATTAGAATATTACCTTCAAGGCAACTTCAACTCCAGCTTCACGGAATCTTAACAACTCCAGTGCATAGCTAGAAGCAATAAAGTGCAATATAATCAGATATACAGACAAAATAAATGACTAAACCATAATAAGGTAAGTAAAAATTATAAGGATCTTAAAGAGATAAAACCACACTCACGGTTTTGCAATCTCAATTATGTCAAATAGAGGATCAAGGCCCTTCCCTATGCCATCTAATACTGCATGTGAAATAATACGTTGTGCTTAAGTTCTTGTTCAATAGAACACAAATATAAATGAAGCCACCAGATTAATGTATTACCTGAAAATGATCTGACAACAAATGTGAATGTGGCAGGGAATCGAAAGGGTTGATCTACTGCAATGGTTAATAAATCTTCCCCTGTTCATGTAATGTAAAATTAATGAGAAGCAGTAACCCACTAAAGAAAAAATGAAAGGGTAAACAACTAAATATTGACTCAAAGGGATATAATGGAAATCAATATATCAGAAGAAAAATAGTTCAACCTTAAAAGAGGAAGGTCTTTCTAAGGACTTTTAACTGAACCTCATATAAAGGAAGACAACTCAAGTTTTCAAGTGCTTTCAGTAGTGAACCACAAGTAATTTGTACATGAAAAACATTTTTCGTGTCAAGAGAGAAAAGGCCAGAGCTTGCAAGGGAGGCAACATTTTCATAAGACATAACACCGATTTTTTTTCTAAACTGATCTGCTAGTAACAAAGCTGACATTATCTTTTTCCTATGATTGCTTATTTATGTATGTCCACGTATTATAAATGTCAAATAAATTGCAAAACAAATTAAGCTATTAGATGCTTAGTGAGTCTTCCCCACTGAAGAATATGAAAAGGTCTCATGTCCTCTTTGCCGAGTTAGTTGGCGCATTATTAAATCCTTATTGATGCATTCAAGAGTGTAAAACCTTAGTTTACATTTATAAAGATAAAAAGCATAAAATATATTACTGATTGCAGCCAGGCGTTCCTTTTTTTTCTCTATCTTTTCCTCCTTTGTCAATGGAAATAGAAAACTACAGCTTATGTATCTCTACTACAACTATAGGTCTTGATACCTAAAAAAGGTATTATAGGCTACAAGAAGTCTCCCAATTATGGGAATATACTAATAGGCTAAACCATTTTTTTTGCGGAACAATTTTTAATATCAGTAATTTAGGTTTATAGTTGTATCATAAACCTTTTCTTGCTTAGCAAAGAAAAATTATGCAAGGAGGAACTCACTAAGTTGATTTTGTAATCTGAGAAAATAATTATATCAAGCAGGTAACTGCCAATTACAACACATTTTAGTTCTAAAAGGAAATACTAGATATATGAAATGAAAAGAACACCATTCCTTTGAAACTACGGCATGAAATGATATATATGCTACAATTTTAAGTGCAAAACATAATAAGCAACCCATGCCCCTTCACCTAGCATTTCCACAAATAAACTCGAATATCTTGAGCATCCAAGGTATTTGTATAAACACAAAATCTTACTGGGTCAGCATGGAAAAACCCATGAGACAAAATTTGTTCCAAGTAAGATTCAATAGCATATCTGCCCAACCTGCATCGCATATAAAATGTAATAATTGTCAAGAGCAAGAATGATAACTTACCCGGATTAAAAAAACCCATAAAATCATCAAATAAATCAAATTATCAATCCAAAAGGAGAAAACAAGAAGTACCCAGATCAGAAAACCAAAAGAAAAAGGCAAAATAAAGAATAAGCAAGAGAAAAGAAATATACCCAGATCAAGAAATTGCATCACCTACAAGCAACTGTAGTGTTAGGATAAAAAACAGTCTCAAATGAAGGTAAGCATAAAACACTAAAAGTAATTAGAAACGGATCAAAGAATGTACATGCCTTGGAAATTGCTATAGCTTCATCTAAACCTGGCGGAGGGGTGTCCAACAGCTCTCCAAGTTTTAGATCCCCCAACTTTAAAGTAGTAACCAAAAAATGTCAGGTACAACAATGAATGAACAAATCTTAAACAAAATTGAAATAAAGTTGGTAGGTTAAGGGGGAAAAGGGCAAAATGGATCAGAACTAGGTACAAGGGGGATATACATGGGCCAGAATGCATCCTAGGGAGCTAATAAATGTTTCAATATCGTTCGGAATCTTTAAATTGCTTTCAAGGAACCAGAACTGAGTCCACATTCAAAATCCTGGTTAGAATAGAAAACTATAAGCAAAAGTGTAAATCAAATCAGCGCTATGACACAAGTCCATTCCTTGACCATTATTCTGTTTGCACGCCAGTAGCTACTAAAAATTATCAAAATATCATCAGACATAAAATAAGTTTTAACAGATTCTTCTTCCATTATTGATGATAATTAACAGAATGAAAGTCACAAGTTCTAAATTTAATGCAACGGGCTGATAAGTGTGCAAGACTTGTATCCACCTGATCAGCAAGCATCCCAAGGCCCATGTTATTCATAAAATCTTTGACAACACTACCACCATTCTTTTGACTTGCAGATTGAAATTCCTCTTTAGCTTTATCTGGATTTATCTGTTATATTGCTAAGGTTTAAAAATGTGCATCACATGATGAGCTAATGTGGAAAAATTCAACCTTATACCATATACCTCTAGAGCCAACAAAGGAGAATTCAGTCCATCGATAGAAACAAGATTCCTTCCTGCCAAATCCTTGAGATAATGAACAAAGCAGATGGTTAAAGAAGGGTCCCACAAACTAACTTCCATTCTTGAGCATTTTCTGTTTAGAGTTAAAAAAACAGAAACATTTATTGATACCAGGGAGAAAGAGTCACTTAAGGAGTGAGCAGGATCAGTTGAGATCACAATGGTAGGGTGGCCGTGGTCTGCAAATTTTACAGCAAGGGAAGCAGCACAGCTTGTTTTCCCCACGCCTCCTTTCCCACCTAGGAAGTAATACTTACGCTGCGGTCCAATAATCATCTCATCAAACCTAGCAGCTGGATCAAGAATAGTTGCTACAGATCTCACTGCAATGAAGAACATGTACCCATTTCATCAATAGGAAAAACAGCCCACTACAATCAATCACCAAGCGAATCAATTATGGTCACTGGGGTAAACAAAATATAGAATAGCATACAGGAGAAACAACGTTACCTAGAAAAGGTACAATATGTGGTACAGAAGTAAAAATCGATGTGGTTCTATGAGAAGGGATATTGTTTTAGGGTTTGGGTGTGTAATGAGATATTGTGTTGGGAATTAAGTTTCCTGGAATACGTGAAATAGAGCGAAAACAACGAGATATCATCTTAGAACTGGAAATGGATGATATAAAAATTTGGGTAAATCTGAGAAATTCAAATGGAAATGAATTTGACCACACTTGAGTGTGAGTGTGAGTGTGATGATGCAGAGGAGGCAAAGCCTGGAGCGGCAGCAAGACCACGATTACAAGCTACGTTAAAGCAAGTGAAAAAAAACAAGCCCACTTACTGCTTAATTTTTTAAGTTTTGAAAGCTGCATGATGTCCCAATCACACCCGAGACGGTTAGCCCAATTCCTAAATTCAACCTCTCCTTGAAAGCTCCACTTCATCTTCACCTGCACAGTTTTTTCCCCCATATTCCCACTGTTTCAATTCCCCCAATTGTTTCGCGTTGTTTAAAGTGAGATTGGCGAAGAAGCATCATATGGGTTTGGGTAAACGGCGGGAATGAAAAAATAGGTTAAGGGGGAAAAATGAGAAAGGGTTAATGGTTAAACGCCAATAAAGTACTAGGTTTTAGCGGCGTTTGTCTAAAATCGTCACTAAAGTATGAGTATTTAGCGGCGTTTTTGAATAAAACGCCACTAAAGTATTAGGTTTTAGCGGCGTTTATTTAAAAATGCAACGATATATGTACCCTATTGCGGCGTTTGTTTAAAAACGCCACTAAAGAACGATTCTATGGCGGTGTTTGTTTACAAACGCCACTAAAGTACGAGTTTTAGCGGCGTTTTTGCATAAAGCGCATATAAAGTACTAGGTTTTAGTGGCGTTTATCTAAAAACGCCACAATATATGTACCCTATTACGGCGTTTGTTTAAAAACGCCACTAAAGTACTTATATTTAGCGGCGTTTGTCGAATAAACGCCACTAAAGTACGAGTTTTAGTGGCGTTTATTGAAAAACACCGTTAATGTTATCATTTAGTGGCGTTTTGGATATAAACGTCGTTATATGTACAAATTTAGTAGCGTTTGCTTTGAAAACGCCGCGACAAACGCCGCTATATACTTGTTTTGCTGTAGTGTTTAAACTATAATTAATCTATTCAAATATTATTTTGATGGAAAAAGTTGGATTGTTGCAATTTTTGGTTGTTCACCTTTTTAGGTTTAGAGGGAGAGTTGTGGTCGGTTGTTCGGTGAAGGGGAAATAGAGAACAAATAAATTGAAGATGACGAACAATCGTTGATTGAGAGAAAATTTGTGAGAGGGTCTTCTCTCCTTTTATAACTTTGCATCGTGACTTATATAATTACCCTTAGTATTGGTGTCAAGCCTAGGATAATGATGATTATTTGTAAGTTGACATTTTAAATAGATCTGGCTGTAATATAGTAGACTGTAAATCACGTGGGCATATCGGTGATCACGTCAAGATGTTGTAATTCTCTGAAGATCCAAAACTCAGTAAACTTTGAGAAACTCCGAAGGTCTTAGGGAGTTTGGAGGCTTGAAAGAATGACAACACAGACTAGTTTCGGAAAGAGATTTGATGGAAGTACAACAATAATAAATTTTAGTTGTCTGAATTTTCTCCTACAATAATAAAAAAAGGAAAAACATATTTATTAATAAAATGGTTTAATTAGTATAATTTTCAAAGTTGAAGCTAAATTAAGTTTATAAAGAGGTATAGTTAATTTTTTTTTAAATACAAAGGCTTTATCCACCATTAAACTAAAAATAAAAATCATATTCTATCAAAACATAACGTTATGCATTACATTTATTTCATTGTATAAGCAGTTATTGCAAAATAATTGAAGTTGAGACACCGACTTTAAATTGTGACCGTATCCATGAATTCATCATCAGAAGCCATGGCTTCCAAGGTCTCAGGCAGAAGGCATGCTTCAACATCGATGCTCCCTTCTTCTGCTCCACAAAACACAGTTAACTTGTCATTTAATTTGTTCCCTAACCCACTTCTCACCGCAACTGGCCTTCCCCATCCAAAATCGTTGCTATAAATGTCGAACTGAGGCGAACTGCTTGTCTCTGTAAAATTTCTTACAATCGACGCCATTGTTAGCGGCTTCGGACTTTTTATCCAAGACTCGAACTCCCTTCTAAACTCTTCTTCAGTTTGTACAGAAATCAGTCTGTTCATTTCACTTGCTATGTCTCCAACTTTTTGCTCTTGCACTTCCTTTGTTTTCATGGTTATTAGTCCACTCTTTATTGCATTTCCAAAATACTGTTGGGGTAGATTGCTCAACCTTGACCTCGCGCCGATCCACAGGCAGTAAGTCATCTGTTCGTCGTGGTTTAATTTTTTGTTGCGGACAATTGATCGCCAAAGATGAGATAAAAGTGCTTGAAGAGACGAGATGTTGTCGGTTCCGACCTCGGAGTTGGCTTTCGCTTTGAGTTTTGCAATGTTTTGTTTTGTGAAATGGAAAACTCTTTCTCTCAAAGGAGGTTGAAGAACAACTAATTGATCTTCATGGAATTGCTTGATCAATGACCGAGGAACTCGAATGGGGTAATCGATATTATCGAAAAACGAGCGTCGAAAAACTGGGGGTTTCGATATGTGAATCGACCAGCCTCTTGAGATTTCTGACCATGAATTGATGAAATGCCAAAACGATGTTCCGTCAACTACGGAATGGTTCATGGTGCAACCAAGGAAGACACCATCGGCAAGCTCCGTCACCTGAACCCCGAGTAATGGCTCGGAAATTCCGGCGTAGTTCGTCAGCCCGTTAAGTGGGAAAAACGAAAGAATAATGGATGGGACATAAACAGGCTCGAGAACGTCTGAAACGGTCACTCCATCAACTTTGGCATGGATGAACAATGCTCCAGCATTATTGCAATCGATAAAAAACGAAACGGTATCGTTGTCGTGTTCAGCGGTGGCTAGCCGACCTGCCAGGGGAGGAAAGTGGCTGAGAGTGGTAGAGAAGGAAGCTTTTAAGCGGTGGATGAAGGTGTTTTCATCGTCTGCCGAGGGTTTTGGTTTGGGAAAAAGAAGGCCCTTCTGGATAGACCCGACGAGAAGAAAACGAAGATCCCATGGATTTAACTCGACCTTCTGATTCTCTGCTTTGTGAGTTGATGCTTGGATCAATGTACTAGAAATGCATCGAACACCTTCCATTTCTTCTCGACAGTGATAAGTAACGAGCTGTGTGGGCTTTATGCACTGAACTTTTCCACATGTGGTCCTCAATTTTCACCGATGATTAATCAATTACATGCCGACAATAATTGTGATCTATTGTTTTCTATCTTGATAAAGCCAATTTGATCCATCATTGTTTCAAATAATTGAAGGCAAAATTATAAATTACATCATTGGACTTTTATTTCACTCTTTTCTATTATTAAATTTTAAAAAGATCAATTTTTTTATTAAACTTTTGATTTACTCATGTTTTGATCATTCATATATTAAATCATAAAATGAAAGACGATATTACAGCTACATGTGTTGGTTTAAACTATTTTTTAATATTATGTAATTCATATGTCATTCATGTCTTTTTCTTTTTTAGTTTTATATTCTTTTTCTATAGATGTAAATTTTATAATTTCATCCTTAAGTCATGTCGGCACTACAATTACCCTTTTTTTGATGTTTTCTTTGACCAATTAAGCTATCACGAACTTGTCAGTTTGTCTCTTACCATTCTATTAGTTTAGTCTCGTCTATAATTCAATATTATTTGAAATATGTATGAGATGTAAAACGAATGATTTTAATCCTCCAATCCTTTGTTATCAGCACCTTCTTACTATTTACGTTTCCATGGATAAAACATCTTTCGTTGTGTGTGTGTGTTTTTCCATTACTTCAATGTTCTACGTCGGTGCATGTAAGGTTTCTTGAGTTTCTGATGATATAAAACGGATTAACAATGTGTAAAACTAATATAACAACTTAATTTTATATAACTTTATTAATAATAAAAGGATGGGATAACAGCATATTAGCCGACCATCTTTGGTTAGGATCCCTAGCAAAACACATGGCCAAGAAATCCTTGCCATCAGTCGACATGTTTTCAGGGAATTCTGGGGTTTCTCCTTTCAAAAGCTTCTTCATTAGATCCTTGAGGTTAGAATACCTCCATGGAATTTTCCCAGTAATCATCTCCACCACGATGCAACCTACAGAGCATACATCCAATGCACCACTCATCTCCCCCTTGATGGATTCAGGCGACATATACTCCTCGGTGCCTCTAAAACAAAGCCCTGAGGTATCATCTTTTTCTCCCCATTGTTTAGCTAACCCGAAATCCGCAATCTTCAAGGTAATGCCATTGTTGTGAGATGGAAAAACCAGAATGTTTGCTGGTTTAAGATCCGAATGAACGTATCCTCTCTCATGAATGTCTGCAACCCCTTCCACTATCATTCTTGTGTAGCCCTTTACTTCACATTCGGGTATTTTGCCGCCCTTCATGTTCATCAAGTCCAAGAGAGTGCCTCCGGATGCATATTCAAGTATTAAGTTATAACGCATAGTTTGATCGGGTTCGACACTTGTGAAACCACCGAAACATCCAACAACGTTGGGGCAGCCGACCAAACTTTTGAGAATTTCCTTTTCTTTCTGAAGAGAAGAACTCATTGCGTAAGAAGCAGATTTCACCGCATACAGCTGAGTAATTGTTTCCACCAAATGTACCACACCGAATGAACCCTTTCCAAGAACCCTAATCTTCACTCCTTCAACCGCCTCCATTATTTTTTTTTACTCAGATCGAACAAACTAATCATAGACGGTGGTGTTGGGGTAAGAGGGTTATATATAATGAATTGAGAGGTTTTTAGTTCATCTGGGAAAAGGATTCCAAATAATTTACGTTAAACTCTCGTTGTTTTTTATTATATAAATATAAACTTAATGAATTAAGACGGTGTTATAGTCCATCTACGAAAAGAATTCCAAATTTTATGTAAATTTATCGCGTTTAATTTTATATAGGATATAGATTTATATATTTACGTTAAAGTGTTATTATCATTATTTTAAAATGATTACCATTGTTAATATTTATTATGAAAACTCTCAATTATTTAACAATAAACGATTGGTTATACAAAATCAAATAATCATCATTATACTAGGCTTATATAAGTCACCATGCAAAGCTAAAAAATGAGAGAAGATCTCTCACAGACTCTCTCTCAATCAATGATTGTTCATCGTCATCTTTAATTTATCTGCTTTCTATTTCCCCTTCACCGAACAACTGGCCACAACTCTCCTCTAAACCTAAAATGGTGAACCACCAAAAATTGCAACAATCCAACTTTTTCCATCAAAATATTATTTGAATAGATTAATTATAGTTTAAAGGTCCTTGGATCAAATTTGAGCTTTATAGGGTGAGTAGTTGATCTATTTGGAGTTAAAAATAAAGTTTTTAATTTGAGAGCAAATGAAGAAAGACCAAATGAGTAATTAGACCATTAGCGAATTTTAAGACTCAAATTCATTTGATTTAACTCATGTCATCGGGATAAAGAAGGGATAAAAGTTGAACAATTTTTTTCACTTCCCTCTCACTTCTCTTCTTCTTCTTTACTCCTCTCCATCTTTTCTAGCAAGTTTCATCACCTAAAGATGCTACATTGCCCATCATTTACCGAACTTTGTATCAAGGTAAGGCAATATTCGATTTTAAAAACTTGAGATCTATCTTTTGAACTCCTTATCTCCTTGGAAGGTAAACTGGTCTTTGTGGAGGGTTTTAAAAGGATTTTGAACCCTTTGACTCTCTTAACTAGTTCAAGTATGTTTTTAAGCATTTAAAATTGTTTATCAATTTTTCAAGGTCCATAGTGGGCTAGTAACACATTCTTCATTCATTGATTAGTGGAAAAGAGGTGTGAGACCTCCAAAAGTAAGAACAAAGAAAGGTTGATATGTGAGACCTCCAAAAGAAGTTTTGGACTACTTAGGAAATGAGATAACACCTTACGACTCTTTTCTACTATTTGTAGATCAAAACATGATGCTTATTGTACTTGTATGAGTTTTAAAGCATTTCGAGTGTCTGGGATTCATGAAACATTATGATAATTATTGAGAAATGTTTGAAAAAGATGTTAAATGACTCATAATGACTTTTATAAGCTTTATTAATCACATTATGAATTTAATATTTGTGCTCATGGTGAGTTTGAAGGTAGAGAATAAGATATTCCTAAACCGACATCGTTATTTTTCTTTGTAGAGTAAAATCTGAACATTTTGTAATGGTAGTATCGATACCAAATTCATAAAGTATCGATACTATTTTTTTATGTCGATATCAAGGGTTTGATATCGATATTAATATAATTTGATTGTATTGTGATTTTATCTCTACTTTTCTTGTTTCTTCAATTTATCATTCGTATTAAGTTAATTTTAACTTATATGTTCCTCAATCATTTTATAATACATGTGTATCTTCAATTCCTCGTTGATATCATATTTTTACTTTTTGCAAATTAATCTTTTAAATTTGTATTTTATTCAATTTAATCATTTGATTGTAAATTTTTTTATAATTTTTAAATTTTTTCTTGACTCCTTTATATTTCTATCAATATTCTATCATTAAAATATTTTCTTTTAAAAACAAATTACATGTTATATATTTATTGATTGAAAGATTTTTTAACGAAGGTAACATATGAATCTTAAAACGATAATACAATGAAACATTAAACAACTTTCTATACCATAAAAAATAGATACAAAAGCAATATATATATATATATATATATATATATATATATAATTTTTACGATTATTTTCAAGCTAAGCCAATTTTATATTCTTTGTTTAAAAATATATTTTTTTTCAAAAGAAAAAGGAAACGAGTCATAAACGTAAAATAAAAGAAGTATAGGGCAAAAGGGAACTAGAAGAGAATGGCAAAGTTATCCATGTGGATCGAAGAAGACGGAGAAGGGCCAAGCAATCGAGTCCCTAAGCGTCAGAGGGTTGAGCGTGTTTTTGATATCGGAGGCTCAGGTCAAGAAGAATCCGAAGAAGACGAAGAATCGGGAGGGGAGGAAGCATCCGAAAGAGAAGATAAAGCATCCGAAGGGAAGAATCTGAAGGAGAAGAACAATTGGAGGAGAGTGGAGCTGAGATAGGAGAAATGAGCCCTCAGACTGCCCAAGATGGATCTATTTCAATTACGTTAGCTGACCCTGAAGTTCTTGATTGTTCTATCTGTTACGAGGCCTTGAGTATCCCTGTTTTTCAGGTTGGTCATTTAATTGTCGACAATTTGGTGGTTTGGGGTATGGGTTTCCTATTCTTTGGTGAAAACATTAAAATATTTGGTTAATTTCTTTGTTTTATGGTGAAAGGATTGGGTTTTAGGGTGGGTTTTAATTTTTGGGTCAAAAAGGTTTCAGATTCCAGTGTTTCCCCTTTAATATGCAACTGGGTTTTCTTTATTGTTATTGGTGAAATGCTTCTAAAAGTTTGATTTTTGCTGATAGATTTTTGTTTGTTAGGGAAAGCTTTTCAAATTCATCTATGTTTTCGAATTATATTTCTTATTCTCTTCATTTTCTGTTTGTGTTTCTCTTTTCAAATTGTTTGTTCTATAAATTTATATGAGATGAATCCTTCAACACTAGTTATTCTTGCAAAACTTTGAATACTGACTTGGGGGATATGATTGGAGAGAAATTGCTTAGTTCTAGACTTCAGTTTATTAGTTGGTATTGTGGATTTTATACTTTTTTTGGGTGAAGATAAGGTTTGTTCATTTAGCAAATCTGCTTAAATTCAATAATTGAATACTAGAATCGAAGTTTGAGTCTGCTAAAAGGAACTATGTATATGGTGAAGAAAGTGATTGTTAGCTTCAGTGGCAGAGGATGGTTAGCTAGTTGATAGATCATGAGAATTATGTGGAATTCAAATATTTCTTGTTCCCTATGCGAATTTGTAAGGGGAAATAAGTGAAATCGTTGTTTTTTGTTAAATATAAATTGCTATTTCAAAATGCATTGCAAGGTTTTTTATGTACTTGAAGGGTCCTTGGAGGGTCGTATCCATATGCTAATGTTGAATATAAATCGGACAGGGCGACTTAAAGAAAAATGAAGAGTTAGTGCAATATAGTGAGGTTTAGTAGGCTGGTAACCTTTTTCTATTGGTGAAATCTTAGTTGCATCTCTAGGGTCAAAATTTTCAAGTTATTACAAATACTCAGTTATAAGCAATATTGGAAGAATAGGTCATTCCTGTCTCTCTTTAACCAGTCCGCAGGAGTGCTTTTTTAGAAGTGTTGCCAATAATAGAACATGCGGTCATATACATGGGAAAACTAAGAAAAGATTGAACCGTTTGAGATTCTAGCATCTTAAAATGATTGGGAGCTTTGTTGTTCCAACTTCATTTTTCTTTGAGCACCCATATTCTAACCTCTTAAGATGATGAGGGAGGATGAGTCGTTTGAGATTCTAACCTCTTAAGATGATGGGGAACTTTGTTGTTCCAACTTCATTTTTCTTTAAGCACCATATTTTCGGATATGGGTATGGGGATAGGACCCTCAAAGGACTCTCCATATACATGGGAAAACTCAGAAAAGATTGAACATACCTGTGTTAGTCACAAACATGTTTTCGACACAGACACGCAAGTGTTAGTATACGTAGATGGGGAAGCACTTCAAAACCACTTTAACATGTTTTCATGATTTATTTAGACCTGTTCTGACCAGAATTTGTGAGAATAAAGAGAGAAAAACATGGGTTTTATAATGCTTAATCTTAGCTTCTTGTGATGAACCCTTTACGGCCAATCTTTGATGTCAACAAAAGCATTTTTTTATGGTTCTTATGTAAATTTTGTAGTATTTTATCCTTTTGAACTTGAGGGTGTTTTTGTCGATGGGTTTGGCATTGTCCGATGAAAGGGTATTGTTTGACTGAAATATCAAATGAATTTCCATATTTTTGCGATTTTTTATTCATTTGTTCATATATTAAATGCATCCTGATAAATTGTTATGTGTTTGATTGTCAATTCAGTGTGAGAATGGGCATATAGGTTGCGCTACTTGTTGCATCAAAATAAGAATAGATGTCCATCCTGTTCGACTCCGATTGGCTATAGTCGCTGCAGGGAGATTGAGAAGGTTTTGGAATCCGTCAAAGTGTCATGCCAAAACACAAAGTACGGGTGCAAAGAAGCATTCAGTTATAGCCTGAAGCAGAAACATGAAAAGGCATGTCCATTTGTGCCATGTTCATGCCCCCTTCCCAAGTGCTACTTTGAGGGTTCATCAGAGGATTTAAGTGCACACTTTGGTAATGTACACAAGTATTCTGCAACATGTTTCCTTTATGATCGTTTAACAACCATCACCTTTGGAGTTTCTGAAAAGTCACTTATTCTTCGGGAGGAGACTGACGGTTCTTTATTCATTCTCCACAATAAGGTTGAGACTTTGGGGAATGTAATCACATTGAGCCGGATTGGACCCATAACCGAGAGAGGTTTCTTCTATGAGCTAATTGTGAAATCTCATGCTGATGGAAGTACTCTTAGATTACAATCCTTCACAAAGAGCACTCCGAAACGGGTCGATAACCCACAGTCATTAGGGTTTCTCCTGGTTCCAAGTCAGTTCTCACAGTCATTAGGGTTTCTCCTGGTTCCAAGTCAGTTGTTCTCTAGTAGTTTCCGGCAGATCAAGATGGACCTCCGGGTGTGGTGTTCCGATCGGATTTCCTGCTATCAGAGGCCTAGCGGTGCATAGTTCTTGTAAATCTTGGTGCATAAACTAATGAACTCCAGTTGTAGCGATTGTTATTTAAGTCATGCAAGGTTTATATATGTATGAATTTCATAACGAAGATTGATTCATGAATATCAAATAACCTGAACCAGAAAGAGGTTAGGTGTTAGGAAGACCAAGTAATTCCAGTTTCACAGGCAATTTCAAACCACTCCAGTCCTTCCGTAAAACCTAAAAGTATAAACTTTATTTTAGGTTATGTGGATGAATTGGTTTGACAGATGTATGTGAAATTGGAATGACTTTCTCCTCAAATCTAGCCTCTTTCACGATTAGTGGAGTGAAATCAAGTGTCCCTTTTCCATGCTCCGGTCTTGGTTTGAAAGCTTAAACTCCATTTTCAATAGATTATTTATTTAAACACTTTCCAGCATCCAGGGAAGGGGAAAATTAGCAGCCAACACAAGATTTTTTATAGTTATTTATTGTTTGAAAAATAGTGTATATTTAATTTATTGATTGTGTCTGTGTATTATAATAGATCATATGATATCCTTTAAATAATATACTTAGTTTTAACGATATGATTGATGATACTTAAATTTGTATAATATAAGTGCATTAAACATATATAGATCTAATCAGTTATTGAACTTATCGTAGCCTCAATAATTAGAGTGAGTGTTGTTGTTTTTAGATCCTGAGTTTGAGTAGTTGTGTCTATTATGTGTGCATTGACAATGATTAAGAAATATCATAAATAAATATTATCTTATAATCATCTCAATAGGAGATTTTGAGATTATGAACTAATATTAATTTATAATCACCTCATTTTATTTAAAAATATTTATATAAGAGTTTGTACCATTTTCTATAGATTATATTAACTTTTTCTTCTTTGATTTTTGTTTAGACGGCGACAATACTAATTTTGATGTTGATTGTTGATCACCGGTTCTATTCTCCCTTTGTTTCTTTTTTAGTTTTTTTAATAAGAACAATTCTACCTTTGTGATACGTTTTTTCTATTTTTGTGACACGTTTTTCATTTTCTTTTTCGGTCTTTTGACCGTTCTTTTCATTTTATGTATACTCAGAGTTTGATTTGACAACATCACGACAGATCAAGATGGCATTTTATTTGTAATAACGTTGATATTCCCTGTTATGGATCTCGGATTGAATTTGGATACGCGATTTTACGTTCGTAGATAGTTTCTCACGATGCTCGACTCTGATTTGGGATTCTCATTAATCTTTCAATAACTTTTCTTTTTGTGGCTTGTTTGTCGATGCAGTCAGATTTATTTGTGTAACCCCCTAGACCCGGCCTATGCGTTTCAACTAAGTTTAGTGGATCACATTATGATTATTAAATACATTTTTCGAAACTGTTATTTCATCAATATAAAATCACATTATAAATAACCTGAAATTATAAACAAATTATACTATCAAAATCCAACTCGTAAATATAGTACCAATAAATAATAATTTAATTTAAAACATGTCTTCAAATTCAATATCACAATAAACCGAGCAGTATTAGCAAAAGAGTTATCATTATAAAATCTGATATTTTAAAATAAGGTCCATGTCACCAAAATAAAGTCAACTTGCCAGATAAAAACATTACAATCTGATTTACTTCAAGAGATATGTTGATCCTCCAAGTGCTCGAACCAAGGTATCTAACCAACAGTATCTGAAAGGGGAAAACATTTTCAAAAGGTGAGCTAGGCTCAGTGTGTCCCAACATTTCCATAAAATCACAATAGGTACAAATCATAGTCCAGTAATCTCACAAATTCGTAAAAGAGTTTAACTTTTTGAAAATCATAGTTTAAACCCTTTTCCGGTACACCATCAGTAGTTCCCAAAATTATTTTCCATATAGCTTACTTTATGCACATAGCAAAAAGAAAGCCGACTTAAGGATAGGCTCGGAAGCTTGTATCCTTAAGCCCAAGTCAATAAGTCCATATAGCTTACCCTAAGCACACAGCAAAGGAAAGCCGACCTAATGAAACATCTTGGGGCCCTCAAGAGTCACATTAGGCCCAGTTAGCTTGATCAGAGCTATTCCATCGTAATTCAATTCCAAAATTCAATTGCACCGTGACACAAATTCCATAAATCCAAAAACATGGTAATCATATACCAGTTCAAAACAAAAATTAGATAGCAGCCATAATCCATAAATTGTCACATTAAATTGGTGCATCAATAAAACAATAACCAATGAATTCGGTGTACCACATATTAAAACCAATAAAACAGTTCAGTAATAAGTAGGGAACACCTCGACAATAGATTCAAATAACAAATCTACTGATTGCTGGTTTCACCACGCTGCTACAGTTTCGAACGGGTGAATACTGGTACACGTGGTTTAACTGATCTAGAAGAGTTGGGTCGAGCTGTCGAACGATCCGGAGAGTCTCTTGTACCTTCAAACAATAATATTTATCAGTCCCAAATCATATTTAATTGTTCAAAGCTAAACTTCTTAAGTATATAAGCATTTTTCGGGTTTGACTATCAATTTGAGGTATTTCGAGTCTGAATTTGGCCAAACGGATTGTGGAATCGGAATCAGGGCGTCGGAAAACATAAAGTATGACTTTTCGAAAATTCAAAATCTTGGTCAAAGTCAAAGTCAACCACTTTGACCGTAGATTTGGAGACTTTCGGATTCGAATTTGACAAAACGGACCACGGAAACGGATTCGGCACGTCGAAAACTACCAGGATAGGTATACTTGGAAAAGATTAACGGTCGTTTAATGCTCGGTCAAAGCCATTTTAAGTTTTGGTCAAAGAAAGTCAACGATCAACGGTCAACGGTCGGGTCGGGTCAACGGTCGGGTCGGGTCAGACCGGTCAAACCGGTTCAGACCGGTCAAACCGGTCAGAACCGGTTGAAAACCGGTTAAACCGGTTTCCAGCAGCCACTCGACCTGCGGCGGCGCGTGTGGCGCGTGAGGCGTCCTCCGGGGCCCTAAAAATCCCGGAAAAATTTCTAAAAATTATTTTGAGCGATTTCAAGATACTTACAACGATCGGTTCAAATTTTTGAACGGCGGAGAGCTCGATTTCAAATCGGCCGAATCTTTGACTGCACCACCTCCTCACGCGCCGCCGTCTACGGCGGACAAGGTTGACACCCGGTGAACTCGGAACGGCACAAGGAACACGATGGTGCGGGAGGTGTCGTAAACGGAGCAACGATCAGCGGTGAATTTAAGATTTCCTCGGCGATAGAGCTAACAAAACCGTCGCTACTTTGACTGGAAATTCCCGATGTTTGGTCGCGTTTCGCTTCAATTAATTTGAAGGGTTTGTTCCTCGCTCGATGATGAACACAACGGTGGTTTTAAAACGATGATCGGAATTTGGACGGCATCGGAATCAGAGTTGGAAACTGCGTATGGGAAAGGAAAATTGGGAGCATTTTGGTTCTGAAAATCAGAACCAAATGTACGCTTATAATCAAAGCTGCCGACAGTTTTAGGGTAAATTCAAGGCTTGGTCCTTGGATTTCCTTCACTTCTAAAATGGCCTATAAACTCTCATAAATTTTGATTTAGTCACCAACAATTTACCAATTTTCACCATTAACCTCCAATTTCAATTAAATATTATTTTGTAAATATTCGGGTTGTTACAATTTGTATCTATTTTTTGTTCGAGTTCTTTAGTTGAATTTTTAACATTTTCCATGTATGGTCTTTATATGATCTAAATTGACTAGTTTTAATATTATAGTAAAATGTCTAAATTATATTTTTAGTTTACTATGATATTTATAAATCCTTAATTTTTGGGTATTATCACTTTTTAAGACTAACTACTTTTATTAGAAAAAAAATATTTGTATAAATAATGCGATAATAATTTCCTTTAAGTAAATTTTGTTTCATTTTTAAGTTGAAATCTTTGTTTCTTTCTACCAAATTATATACAATAATACAGTCATATCACTTCTACGGGAGCCCTTGAAACCCTTTGCTCAAACAGATAGATTTGTCATCTGGTCTTTTACTTGTCCCATCCTTCTAGGGTTCTTGTTATCTGATATAATATGCTCACTTTCTCATCTAAAAAGAAGAAGGGTAGGCACTGTGTTTTGTTCTTTTTTATCATTTGTTACAATCGATGCCGTTTTCGGCTGATTTTCTTCAATAATGTTGATAGGACACGAAGGAAATGAGATTGTAAGATCGAGATCCAAGTTCGATACACCAGCGGGTGCTTCATCTTCGAGATAACTTGCAGCATCCGAGACACCATCATTGTCCGTTGAAGATATTCTAAGCTTACATGCCACATTCATGGAGACGTTGTCAGGGGGAACAACAAGCTGATCAGGTTGAAGACGAACCGAATATTGGTTCAACTTGTGGTGATTGGGATCGTTCCCCATTTTTATCAGCTTTCTCTTTATATGAGAATTCCAATAGTTCTTCACCTCATTATCCGTTCTCCCCGGCAATCTACCGGCTATCAGTGACCATCTAACACCCAATAACCCAAAATTTTTTAGGTGTCAATATCAAACACTCGTGTTGAGTGTCAAGACATATAAATGAGAGAATCATAGTATTAAATTATGACCTCAACATAGCCTAATAGTCACGTCATAACATTTTCATGATTGTCGCGACATCGTAATCGTATCTAAAATTTGAAAACAAATACATGAGTATTGGAAATTGTTGGGGAAACCGAGTTATTTCCCACATGAACGTAGTTTCAAAATTGATCTAAAATGTCAAGATCAAAACCACCAAAGGTTGCACAGCTGATAAACATGTCAAACTATTGAATATTGAAACACAATATAAAAAACCGAATAAAAAAATAATAAAGGAGACAACACACCAAATTTACGAGATTCGACGAGAATAGCGTATACTCCTCAGGCACCACACCGGATGATAACTTCATTATCAACAAATATTACAACAAATGGAATTCTTTAGAATTCCCAAAGTGAGAGTATGGAGAAAACAAGAGGAAGAGAAAACTTGTTTTGGGATGATTTCTAATGAAATACTTAGGCCTATTTATAGTTGAGTTTTAAGGACTAAACTTATAAATAACCTAATATTTTAGGGATCAAAGATGAAAAATAAGTTGGCCACCTACCAAAGAATTTTCCAATAAGTTGGCCACTAACCAAGATGAATTTTTCAATAAGTTGCCCACCAACCAAGATGAAATTTCCAACTTGCCAAACTTAATTTCAGGCCAAAACATAACAAATCTCCACCTTGGTTTGAAATTACCAATCCTACTCAACTTCTTCAACTCCCCACATTTCATGAAGCTCTTTTAATATAGTGCCTCTAATTGCGCTCACAAGCGCCATACACCCGAAGGTGCTCAAACTTTCAGGATATTAATCAAGTTCAAACAATGATTGAACTTGATTATTGTTACCACCTTGGTCATTATATCTACAAGATTTTCTGATGTCGTAATTTTCTGAAGTAGAATCTTTTCTTCTTCAAAGATCTCCCGCACAAAGTGATACCTCACGTCGATATGATTAGTCCTTGAATGGTAGACTTGATTTTTCGCTAAGTGAATAACGCTTTGAATGTCAGAATAGAGACTAATGTGTGTCTTTGAACAACTCCCAAGTCTTCCATCAACCCGTTAAGCCAAATTGCTTCCTTTACAACTTCTGAAACTGCCATGTATTCTGCCTCTGAGTAGACAAAGCCACCGTAGATTGCAAAGTAGATTTCCAACTTACTGGGGCTTTAGCAAGAGTAAACAAATACCCAGTAGTTGATCGACGCTTATCCAAATCACCAGCATAGTCGGAATCAACATATCCAACCACACACTGACCAAGTGCTTCATCCTGTTCAAAAACTAAACCAACATCCACAGTTTATTGGAGATACCGTAGAATCCATTTCACAGCTTGCCAATGTCCTTCTCCAGGATCATGCATGTACCTGCTCACAACTCCAACTGCTTGTGAAATGTCAGGACGCGTACACACCATTGCATACATCAAGCTCCCAACTGCATTAGCATATGGAACTTTTGCCATATACTCTCCTTCTTCGTTAGTTTTAGGAGATAATTAAGAACTAAGTTTCAAATGAGAAACTAGTTGGATACTTACATGTTTGGTATTTTCATCCATGCCAAAACATTGTAATATATTTCTCAGATACTGTTTCTGTGTTAAACAAAGCTTCCATCTCTGTCTATCTCTGCTTATCTTCATACCAAGAATCTTCTTGGCCTCACCTAGATCTTTCATCTCAAACTCTTGATTCAACTGAGTCTTTAATTTGTCTATCTCATTTTGACTATTCGAAGCGATCAACATATCGTCAACGTACAAGAGAAGATAAATAAAAGATCCATCTTTGAGCTTTTGCAAATACACACAATGATCATATTTGCTTCTAGTGTACTTTTGCCTCCTCATAAAGCTATCAAATAGCTTGTACCACTGCCTCGGAGATTGCTTCAATCCATATAGCAATTTGTTCAGCTTACAAACCCATTTCTCACAACCACCATCTTTGTATCCTTCTAGCTGAGTCATATAGATCTCCTCTTCTAAATCACCGTGCAAGAAATCCGTCTTTACATCAAGTTGAGCTAGCTCCAAATTCAACTGTGCTACCAAGGCCAACAATATTCTAATAGAGGAATGCTTCACAACAAGGGAAAATACTTCATTGTAGTTGATTCCCTCCTTTTGAGCATAGCCTTTAGCTACCAACCGTACCTTGTAGCGAACATCTTTCTTGCTATGAGGTACATCTTTCTTTGGAATTACCCACTTACATCCAATTGCTCTTTTACCTTTCGGTAATTGTGCCAGTTTCCAAGTGTTGTTCTTTTGGAGAGATTGCATTTCTTCATCCATAACACTTTTCCACTTATCACTTTCCAAGCTTTGTATTGCTTCTTGGTAAGTGATAGGTATATCATCATCAACAACTGGAAGAGAATAGGCCACCATATCAACAAATCGAGCAGGTCTACGAATTTCTCTCCTTGGCCTTGTAACTGCAAGTGGTTCCGGTGTCTCCAATGGTTCTTGGGTTTGAACCTCTTCATTTTCTGATTCTTCTATTGGAGTTGAAGAATCAGATGCATCAACTTTTGGGATCATCATCTGCTGAAACTCTACCTGTTTTGGAGTATGCTCCACCTACTGCGGAGTACTACTTGTTTGTACAGCTTTATTTGTTACCTTTTTTACTAGGGTAGATTCATCAAAGGTAACATCTCTACTACAAATTATCTTCTTGATGTTTAAACACCAAATGCGGAATCCCTTTACTCCATGGGTGATTCCCATAAAGAGAACCTTCTTTGCTCTCGGATCAAGCTTGGATTCCTTCACATGATAATAAGCAGTGGATCCAAATACATGTAAGGAATCATAATCAGTAGTAGGTTTTCCAGACCATACCTCCAATGGTATTTTTCCTTCTATCGCTGATGACGGCAGACGATTAATGAGATGACCAGCATATGTCACAGTCTCAACCCAAAATGTCTTGGCTAACCCAGCATTAGACAACATACATCGAACTTTCTCTAATAGTGTTCGATTCATACGCTCTGCCACCCCATTTTGTTGTGGTGTATTTCTAACAGTGAAGTGTCGAATAATACCTTACTCTTGGCAAATGTCAAAGAATGGGTCACTTTTATATTCCCCTCCATTGTCCGTCCTAAGACGTTTGATCTTTCTACCAGTCTGGTTCTCGATCATATTTTTCCATTTTAGGAAAATTAGAAGCAGTTCATCTTTAGACTTCATCGGATACACCCAAACTTTTCTGGAAAAGTCATCTATAAAAGTCACAAAAAAATGGTTTCCTCCCAAAGACGATGTCTTTGAAGGACCCCATACGTCTGAGTGAATATAATCCACAATACCTTTTGTATTATGTATAGTGGTGCCAAACTTCACTCTCTTCTGCTTTCCTAGAACACAATGCTCGCAAAGTTCAATTTGCAAGCTTTTGCACCTTTCAACAATCCTTTCTTTTCCAGAATTTGCAAGGATTTCTCTCCAGCATGTCCCAACCGCATATGCCACAACTGGGTTGCGTCCAAATCATCACATCTGGAAGCTGCTGCAACTGCTCCAATAATTGTACTACATTGGTAGTAATACAAATTATTTTTCCTGATGCCCTTCATCATCACAAGTGCGCCATATGTGACTTTTAGAACTCATCTCTCATAGTGACTACTGAGCCTTTGGATTCCAAGGCTCCCAATGAGATGATATTTTTCTTCAAACTAGGCACGTATCGGACATCCTTCAGAACTCTGGTTGATCCATCTTGATTCTTCAATCGAATTGAACCTATCCCAACAGTTTTACAGGCATTGTCATTACCCATATAAATAACTCCTACATTTAGTTCTACTAAATTAGAGAACCACTCCCGATTAGGGGACATATGATAGGTGGAAACCGAATCTAATATACATTCATCTGAATGGAATGTTGTTGATGAAGCAACTAATGATATGTCAGAGTCATTTGCATCATGCTCTGCAACACATGCATCTGGAGCAGCTTTTCCTTTCTTCTTCAGCTTTGGACAATCTTTCTTCCAATGGCATTTCTCATGACAAAAGACACATTCATCTTTTCCCAGTCTGGACTTCAACTTTGATCTCCCTCTCCACTTTGGCTTTTGACTTTTTGAGTGACCTCTTGCCACCATGGCCTCTGCTACTTCGTACTTGCTCTCCTTCTTGGTTTTCTTCCTGAGCTCATAACTATACAAAGCAGCAGTTACATCTTTAAGGGTAACATTATCCTTACCATGAAGTAACGTTGTCTCAAGGTGCTCAAATTCATCTGAAAGAGATGAAAACAACATCAAGGCCAAATCTTCATCTTTGAAGGTTTCATCCATGCCCAATAAGTCTGCCACTAGCTCATTGAACGCATTGATGTGTTCATTCATACTGGTGCTTGGTTGATAATCAAATCTGAACAATCTTTTCTTTATGTGGAGACGATTCTGAGAGCTTTTCTTTAGGAATTTTTCCTCCAACGCTTTCCACATCTTACTTGTAGAAGTCTCATTCTTGTAGCCATACTTCTGCTCCCTGGAAAGACAAGATCGAATCGTGCTGCACGTCAAACGATTGATTGTTCCCCATTATTTCTCCTCCATATATTCGGGCTTTTCTTCCTCAATGGCGATGTCTAGACCTTGTTGGAATAAAGCGTCTAACACCTCGCCTTACCACATGCCAAAATGATCGGATCCATCGAACAACTCCACCAAGAAATTTGCATTTGACACCACCCTCCTCATCGGTCCAGATGAAGAGCTTGATGTCTCAACTGATCCGTATTTTGGCATTTTAATTCTAACGAACAATATCCAATATCACGAATTGTATCTTTTTAGCAACAACCACCAGGATAACCTCAACCGAAGCCTTGATGCCAATTATTGTGGAAACCGTGTTATTTCCCACACGAATGTAGTTTCAAAATTGACCTAAAATATCAAGATCAAAACCACCAAAGGTTGCACAGTGGATAAACCTATCAAACTATTGAATATTAAAACACAATGAAAAAACCGAATAAAAAACAATAAAGGAGAGAACACACCATATTTACGAGGTTCGACGAGAATATCGTCTACTCCTCGGACACCACACTGGATGATAACTTCACTATCAATAAATATTATAACAAATGGAATTCTTTAGAATTCCCAAAGTGATAGTATGGAGAAAACAAGAGAAGAGAGAACTTGTTTTGGGATGATTTCTAATGAAATACTTAGGCCTATTTATAGTTAAGTTTTAAGGACTAAACTTATAAATAACCTAATATTTTTAGGGATCAAAGATGAAAAATAAGTTGGCCACCTACCAAAGAATTTTCCAATAAGTTGGCCACCAACCAAGATGAAATTTCCAACTTCCAAACTTAATTTCAAGCCAAAACATAACAGAAATGAATCATACCGGTTACCGAGTTGAGCATGGAGTTTGATGATTAACTCCTCTTCGTCTTGGGTGAAGGTACCGCGTCTGATCTGGTCTTAATTAATTTATCCATCTTAGCCTGTAACTTTTACCACAATGGTGCAGGCCTGGTGATTTCCATGAACGAAAACGTTAGTGAAAAAATAAAAACTTTCTTATTCTTGCTTGATTTATATAGGCAAAAAAGGAAGAACCTGCTGCTTTAGGGAAGAAACACCAACAACATTCACCATGAATATGTATATAATCAACAAGCTTTTCATCTTCTTGCTTGGACCAAGCTCCCTTTTTGGTGCCTTGTTTGTCACAACAGGGCTTCCTCATCGGATTTCAGAAAGTAAAACTCTTCACTTTCAGTCCAACCAAACACTCGTAAGAAGCTGGAGAGAAAATGGAGATAGATATAGGGGGAGAGCATTTCGAGTTGACTTGGACTAGTGGTTTTAAAGAATTTTGGTGGCTTGACCGACGACTAGTTCTTATCACATTGTAATGAATTAAGTATGCATATGGATAAGGTATTTGATTTTCAGGCTACATACGTGAAGCTGTTTACAATTAAGTATGCATATCTTTCCTACCTATACACAAACCTTCCTATTTACCTTTTTCCATTGTCAGTGGGATGCATCATCCATTTCATTCATAGAATATAAAATAAGTAAAAGTCGACCTAAGTGGTACTGGAATTATAGTAATACTTTGAGATCTTAAGTTTGAGTACTAGGAGTGTCAGGGGTGTGAGTGCTTAATGTCAAATAAACAAAAGTTGAGAATTTTTGTTTTTTGTTAGGATAAAATTTTTATATTAGAGGATTTGGAGAATTATAGAGGCTGACGCCCTTGTAAGCACATGATATGTGAAGAAAACATAACAAACCTGAAATAAATACAAAATTATATCAATATTTGTTTAACTCATATTATTAATATTAGGGTTAAATATTCTATCGATTCAAATGAAAAAAAAATTGAACTAGTTGAGTTTATGAGTATAAGCTTATCATTTAAGTTTTATTTATAATTTTTAATAGAGTTTATGAAATTTGAGTTGAGTCAAATAGAATATATGTGTCGAAATTTTATTCGAAGTATTAATGGGACTATAAAGGAATTGATAAGAAGAAAGAATTTATAAAAAGTTGCAGTTGGAGGATCAAATTGAATAAAACAATTAAAAAAAGGAAAATGTGTTGTCAAAAATGAGGAACCGAAGTTGCATAGGAATTCTAAAGTGGTTAAAGAGTAAGTGGTTCAACAAATAGGCTTAAAATGAAAGTGCAATTAAAGAAACAAGAGAATCATATACAATCACAAATAATCAAACTACTTAATTAAATATCAAAACAACATCGTTTTAGTTTTCTTTTTTTTATTATTCAAAATTTGCAAATTCAAAGTCAATTCAAAATTCGAACAAAAAAATTTAAGTTGATTCGAATAACTCAATTAGTTCAATTCAAATAACTCAAAATTTGAAAAGATTGATCGGTGTAACTATCCAAATTTATAATCAATGTTCATATGTTGACCTGAAATGGTCATCTTGGATCAATTGAGCTTGATGAGTCAAGACTGAACTTAATTAAATGAGAATTGAATTTGAATAATGTTAAAAAGATTATTTTTGAGCAAAAGGAAAAAGTTAAAGGGTTTTTGGGGCAATTTTCTCATTTGAGAGAAACAAGGATGCGCCAAAGTTTATTTGGACGTGGGTTTTTGGTAGGAATGACAACGGGTCGGATCGGGCAGGTTTTGCTCGTCCCGTCCCCGAACCTGAAATAAATCCCTATCCTTGACTTGATCTCCATCGGGTTTTTTATCGGGACGTCCCGTTGGGGATTTTTTTACCCTGTCCCCGAACTTAACCCGAAATATTATACTCAAACCCGAACCCGAATCTGAAAATATTATATATATAATTAATATAAAAAAATATAAAATATTATATATATAATTAATATAAAAAAATATAAAATATTATATATATAATTAATATAAAATATATAAACTATTATATATATATATAATCGGGACGGGGCGAGGATACCTTGTCCCGTCCCCGAACCCGATCCTAAAAAATCATCAAAAAAAATTCTCGATACCCGACCCGATATTATTCAAATCCGACCTGACCCGAACTTAACCGGATTTCAGGTTCCCCGTCGAGTTCGGGTCATTCTGTCATCCCTAATTTTTGGGAGGCAAATGCGTTTGTCTCCCCTTTAGCTTTTCTCATTATCTTTCCTTTCTTTTTCTCGTTTCCCCCCTTCTTTTCCTCCATCTCAAAGTTTGAAGGCTTGTGCTTGAAGCTAGGGATAGATGGAGGGAAGCGGGTGACCGTAGTCGTACTTTAAAAAATTTAAAAATTTTATATATTTTAGATCTGTCTATGTATATTTTATTAAAAATATAATTTCGTCTTTTAAAATTTTATAAGTTCATCCTCTCGTAAAAATTTACCTATTTAACATAAAATTTTACGGCTGTTCCTACTTAAAGAGTCATATTTTATTGAAGATTTCTTATCTTCCAAACTCTGAAAAGGTAAGTTTCATCTTCATTTCCACGTTAATTTAAAAAAAAGTTTAAAAATATCTTAAATAGTAAGGTTTAAAAATGGAGAAGAATAATATTTCCAATTTAGAGTATAAATTTTTTATTAAAGTTTCAAATTATTGATCTGGAATGATCGAAAATAACTCGAAACGATCCTTAATATTAATTAATCTATAAATTTTATTTTAAAATATTTGATTTTATATTTTTATTAAGTTAACAGAGTTTCGGTTTTGTGATAAATTTTTTAAATTTGACTTATACGATTTTATTTTTCGTTTCAAATGATTATGAAATTTAGATTCAGATTAAAGTGGAAAAAATGAATTGTTAAATATGTTGGTTGCTTCGATGACCCAATTACATTATGTACATATTTGAATCCACCGATTATTCTAGATCGAGTTCAATGTATTATAATTTTCTACCAGACGAATGAGTTTTACTAACTCTAATTAATGTACTAAAATTTTAAAAATAAAAAATATTTTACACGTGATTATAAAATACACATTAAATTATTAGGGAAACATTATCAATTTTCTTCTATCCGAGAACTTATTTTATTTACAAATAATCAAGCTGTCTAAAAGTACTAAATGAAAAACAACGCTGCCTTTCCTTATCAAATGGTCCAGGCTACTTCACTGCTATACAGAATAATTATTGCCCGAAATCACTTTATAAAGGCCCTATTTTTGACATAAAAAATCATGGATTTACATGTATAAATCTTCAATTTATCGATGGAAAAATATTTCATGTTAAAAAATAAATTTAAAAAAATAATTTAGAGGATTACTCAAAAAAATTTAAAGGATAAAAATAAATTTTCAATAAAAAAATTAAAATAATTTTTTTTTAAATTTCAAAAGGACGATTGCTCCGACCGATCTCTGTATACATCCTACTCATATTATTCTGTTGTGAAAGACATAAGTAGTTTGAAACATGTCCGGTTAAAATTGACCCTGTCCATGCTATTTAGTTTAGGCATTTTGGTTATTCTGATTCGATTTTGATTACACTAAAAGGTTTCAATCAATCTACTATTGGTTCATCAAATATAGCCCAACCAATTATATATATCCTGGAAATATTATCATCGATTAGTAAAATTGTGTCAAACTCATGTTTTATCTATTAAGTGTTGGATACAATAATATATATTGTATTTTTATATAGATAATTTTTGTAGAAACGGTTTTTTTCTAAGAGAGAGCGATGATTTTGAAAACCGCGTCATTTTTAATTATTCTATTATGATTAAATTTTAATTAAAAATAATGCGATTTTAAAAAAAATTCTCGTTTCGAAAAATTTGGGATTCCTTTTTAAAATAAAACATACGGTTCGAGGAGTCGCCACCAATATTTGATTAGGTTGTGATTCGGCACCCATGTTTTGTCATTTTAAAAAATAATTAATTTTAATTAAAACAACAAATTGAAGTTGTGTTACAAAAAAAATGAGTTCGGGAGTCGATTACGCGTGGGGAATGATTAGCATCCCACAGCGCCCTAAATCGGTACTAATTGATTAGTTAATGTCCTTGCAACAAAATTTACAAATTCAAATTTAACTTGGTTTATGATCCCTTAAAATAACAAAAATGCGAATTTTATAATTCAAAAGCAAAAAAATAGATTAAATTAAAATTACCAAGCCATTAGAAAGATAAAGAATATTCGATTATTTAAATATATGGAGACCAGATCTTTAGGTGAGTTCTAACGATCTTTTCTCAACGAATTTAAATATCCAAACGTTTCTTTTTCTTGCATTCCCAAATTTTAAGGTGAATGATCAAATTTTTTAGTGACACTGTTGGGATATACTTGTAATTTAAAATTGTCGAAAACAACTTTCTAGTGAGTTAAGAGAAGTCACTCCGACATTTTTTAAGTTAAAAGGATATTACACTTAATCCGATTATGTGATTAGGTTGAGTCATGCATGTGAGGCTATCATGCATTACATATAAAAATGATGTCATGCAATTGCTACTGAATTATTTGCATACCCATACATATGTAAACACATCACCATGCGAAATAAATATAAACAATTAATTTAAGAAAACACATCTAACAATGGACTATATTAAAATAAATTTAAATTTAAAGGATTAATCTAAAAATCTAAATTATGACCAAAATATAAAAGCTACATAATTTCATACCAAATGTAACTATACAGAAATCTTACTTGACTAAACAAAGGGGGGTCAAAATAGAAATTTAAAGTAATGGGCCAGAAGCACAATCATTACAAAATTCGATTAAACACACCAAATGGACTAAAATAGAACATGCAAAACATTCAAAGCCTAATGTCTACAAAAACATAAACTAAGTACATTACCACTCAGGACTAAAATTGAATGCGCGTAAAATATAAAGAACAAATTTAAAAAAACAGACTTGATTCTAGGACTAAAATAAATTAAAATGAAACCTTGCGTGGCCCAAATGGTGAATAACCTACGCACAAAACGGAACACCCTAAACACCTACACGACGCGGCTTTATCCAACTATCTAAAAGCCTTGGATTAAGATCTTAACCTAAAAAAACGAAAGCCATTCATGCTAAACCTAACCCCCCAGCGTCGTTCTCTCCTCTTTCTCCACTCTCTTCTTTCATTCTTCTTCTTTAACCCCTCGGCCACCACTCAACGATGGCCTTGAAAACTGAAACTAATCCTAAACCAACTCTGACGCCTTGGTTTTCCCTCTAGACCACAAACCGAGGCTAAAGCTTGCT